ACAAAATGAAAAGAGGAAGTAACGAATACTTGAAGTTGGTGAAGAAGGCTGAGAACTATTTACCTCCTGTTATTGACATCAGTTCCTCGGACCAATCTTCAGTGGACAGCGATGGCCTTGATCAGCCAGGAACCTTGCAGAAGATGAAAAAGCCAAGCTCATCAAGAAAGGTTTACCAATCTGTGTATGACAGTGAGGATTCTGAGACTATAAGTTTTCTTGAGTTCTGTTGTTAAGAGTGGTGACAAGAGAAGTGATAGAGATGGTGATGACAGGGGTCATGACGAGGGTGAGTGTGGTGGTGATGTTGATGGGGACAGTGGTGATGAAGACGGTAATGGTGGTTTTAGTGGTAATTGCAGTTATAATGCTTTTAGTGGAGGCAATAAGAAGGGTAATGTGAGGATGTTGGATTATGTGGGTGGAGATATTGAGAAGAGGGATGATGATAATGATGGTGATAATTATGGTGAATGTAGTGGTGATAGAGTTGATTGTGATATTGGTGGCAAGTGTGGGAATGTTAGAAATGAAGGCAATGATGATGGTGGTGATAAAGGTGGTGATGTTGAAAATATTGGAAATGATGGTGATGGTGATCATGATGTTGATAGGGATGTTGGAAATGATGATGGTAGTTACATTGATGGTGACAGTGGTAACTCCAGTGGCCAGGTTTCATCAATTAGTATCGATGACAAAGTGACATTAAGCAACTTCAAAGATTGGTTGGGGGGTCCAGATGGTGGCCGTAAAGATGAAAAATGTGCAAGACAGTGTATGCGACAGGTGGAAATGGTTATGAAGTTCATCACCCCAAATGCTCCGTCAATATCAAGCCTATTGTCCAAGTCATTGCTTAGAGATAAATGGCTAAGAATCATTGAAGAAGAGAAGAAACCTGGTACTGTGAAATCATATCTTGGGTCCCTTAACCAATTCTTTATTTACATGCGTACAGAATGTTCAGCCAGATTTGATGAGATGAATGTAAATGAGGGAAAACTTGTTAGTCTATCTGAACAGGTCAAGTTATGGGCCAGGTCTTCTCGGAAGATGGCCCAAAATCGTTTTTGGGAAAAACGTGTAGAGGATTTTGAAACCTTAAAGACGCCAGAAGAGGTAAAGCAGTTTGACATTTCAGAGGTTGCACGGAAGGCAGTTAAAGTACTTGGGGAATTCCAGACAGATCCCGATGTCTCTGTGGTATCACAGGCAGAATACACCATTGTGCGAGACTACCTCATGACTCTGATTTGTATTAACAATGGCAGCAGATCGGGTCCAATTGCCAACATGACCATGGAGGAATTTCAAAATGCCACACAGCAAGATGACTGCTATGTTGTTAGGGTGAAGAAGCACAAGACGTTTACCACCCATGGGCCAGCACACCTCGTCTTGTCGTCGTCGATTCATAATTATATGAAAGTGTTCATTGAAAAATTACGGAGATGTATACCAGATGTCAATGCATGCCAACCCATAGTTTTTTTGAGTTACAGAGGCACCCCACTAGATTCATCCCAAGTTGGTGCCCAAATTGGCTCATGTTGGGGCAAGGTGTTTGGGAAAAAAGCATCTATGGGTGGTGCAACTTCATTCAGAAAGGCTGCGGTTTCTGCCGTTCATGAGTGCAATGAAGAAATGCGAGGTGACTTAGCAGATCTCATGGTACATAACAAGACAACGGCGGACAAATATTACCTGCTAAAGAATAAGGGAAAGTCTGCAGTAAAAACATCCAAAGAACTGTCACGCATTATGCGTGATGGCTCTGAGAAGACAGAATCCAGTGATGGTGTGGAGAAAGAAGAGAATAAAGATCAGGAACCACCCGAGAAAGACGCTGCCACATCAAGCGTGGTCAGTTGTCCCAGGCACAAGTGGTCAAGTGAGGAAACAGACTTATTAAAACAACTTTTTGCTACCCAAATCCAGATGAAAAAGGTATCGATGGAAGACATTCGGGAGCTTTGCAAGGGTCAGCAATTCCTTGAGAAAATTCCTCCTTCCAAGATAAGAGATAAAGTCCGAACCTTATTTAAGTTGGGCGAATCGTCCCTCCCGCCACAAGAGAAGGAGTCTACAGAGGAGAAACTCAAACGTTTTGGCATGCCAATTGCTAGTGGTAAGTTTTTGTTAGTCTTTATATCACATATTGTATTCAATACTGTGCGAGAATATTTTCCTTGACATTTAATTTTCAAACAACAGGTCACAATATTTACACCTTTTCTTTGGTGTTATGGTGGAGATTTCAGCGAAGAACTTTGATTTTGTTTATAACTTACCTTAGTTACCTTTTCTCATGCACAAATATGGACCAGTGTTACTAGCCATATACGTTGTTGCTGTCGTTTAACTATTATAAAGCTTTTTCTTCCATACACGCATAATAAAACACCTATTGGATCCATATTCGTCCATATTCGACATTTCCCCGGTGTTTTAGAAAGAATTACCCGTCCATTTTTTCGTTCTTTCATTCAATTTAAAATGGCATTGCACCCTGGACGATCACATTGCATTACATTAACATTGTATTACAATCAATTGTATTTTGTGTAGAAAATTAGTATGATTAATAATATGATTGCCCAAGTTGACATTTCTTATTGAAATATAGCTTGCAAAGAGAAAGGCAGCAAAGATACGAAAGAGAGACCCTCCGAGGACAATGAGGAGGAGGAAAGCAGAGAAGATGGTGAAGAGGAGAGCAGCCAGTACTCACGTCCATCATCATCATCCGATGTAGTTCCTCCATCGTCACGTTCCAGAGGTGGACAAGATCGCTTGTTCAGTGATATGGAAATGGTGGAGTTTAGAAAGTTATTCTCTGCAGTCATTCATTCGGACAAGCCAATCACCACCAAAGTTGCTGTGTCGATGTTGAAGAAGAATAAAGTTTGAAGCACCTTACAAAGAGATTTACCAACCAGCAAATATACGACAAGCTGAGGACGGAGAGGAAAATTGCGAAGAGAGAAAACAAAAAAAATGAAGATATGGACTCTCGTATTGGTGACTAACTGACACATTTGTCTTTTAGGATGTTTATAATAATAGACTTACGCCTGTATTCTAAAAGCTCACTCACACTCAAACTCATTGAGTGGAAGATCTTAATCTTCTCATAACGTTTCAATGGCGGTATTTTCAGCCGAACAGGGGCTTGATTTTCAGTGATTTATCTTATATCTTTTCATCTATTCAGAGAGAACTTTCTCATTGATCAGCATTAACGAAATTTATATGTCACACTCGATGAGTATGAGTGTGAGTGAGCTTTTTGAATACAGGCGTTACAGTACAAAACAACGCTAACTCCAAAAATCAGCATTTTAGGGGCTGTTTACATGAGCCCGGTTACCCGAGATTCAACGAAGCGTGAGAGGACTTTGAGGTATTGAAATAAGTCTTTATGACACCAAACAAGGACATGCCATTGTTGTGGTGATTATACGACTACCAGGATCATGTTATCTGCTCATTTCAATACCTCTAAATCATCTCACGCTTCGTTGAATCTCGGGTAACCGGGCTCATGTAAACAGCCCTTTAATTGTACAAGCTCTCGACTGTGCTTATATAGTTGAAAGCTTGAACAATTAAACTGACTGTCGGAGTTACCGTTGCTTTATATTTCTTAAGATACTGATATATTCAGAACTGTAGATTTATATATCATAGAATTTTATGCAATTTTCTATCATACAAAGTGTCCAAGAAAAAACGAAAACTACCGAAATTAACTATTGTTAGAATTTGAATGAGAATACTTAGGGCTGCTTTCCAGTTACGCGTTTTTTATATGCACGTACACGCACGGAAAATTTGAAGTGCTTCTAATATTTAACATCCCGGTCTACAAGTGCATACTAAAATATGCGGAAAACTAAGTTCTTTCGATTTATTTACTTAGTTTTTACCTAGTTTTTTCAAAGATAACATATATAAGGATTTAGACATTTCCGTGCGTGTACGTGCATATGAAAAACGCCTAACTGGAAAGCAGCCTTTAGCTAATCACACATGCGTAAAATATCGGCACAGTCATATTTTCTTATTAAGAAATCGAATTATTTCAATAGTTTTTGTTTTTCCTGCATGGGCACGCTTTTTGAATGGTATCTTCCAATTTTTCTCACCATTTTGGGGTACTTTCATTTTTCCAAAATGTGTGTAAACAATTATAACAATGTGAAAGCAATTTTACTAATGATTTACAGAGAAATTTATATATAATATTTATATATATATATATATATATATATATATATATATATAAATTTTCTCTGTAAATCATTAGTAAAATTCATTAGTAAAATTGCTTTTCACATTGTTATAATTGTATATATATATTATATATATATTATTATTATATATTATATTTATATTTATATATATATATATATATATATATATATATATATATATTATTATATATATATTATATAATATATATATATATTATATATATATATATATTATATATATATATACAAACCCATTTGCAAAAACGTTGGCCGCAGATAGATAGATAGATAGATACTCGATACTCTAATTAGAATTGCATATGATTACATTAGCATGGGATTTCAATCATATTACACAACATATGCAATTCTAATTAGATTTCGGGTATCTATCTATATATCTATCTGCGGCCAACGTTTTTGCAAACGGGTGTATATATATATATTATATATATATATATATATATATATGTATATATATATATATATATATATATAATATATATATATATATATATATATATATATATATATATATATATATATATATATATATATAGATATTCGCCGTTACGTTACATTCGCTGTTCATTAAATGTTATGTTTGTAGTTAAAAAATACCTAGGTTACACTAGGGCACAGGCAAGTTACACTAGGGCACAGGCAAGTTACACTAGGGCACAGCCAGGTTACATGCACTAGGGCACAGGCAAGTTACACTAGGGCACTGCCAGGTTACACTAGGGCACGGACAAGTTACACTAGGACACAGCCAGGTTAGATGCACTAGGGCACAGGCAAGTTACACTAGGGCACAGCTAAGTATGGTATAAGTTTTTGTTAATTTCAAAAGCAATTAAATTCTCTCTTGAGCAATTTATATATATGAATACATTTTCATGGGATTTCAATCATATTACACAACATATGCAATTCTAATTAGATTTCGGGTATCTATCTATCTGCGGCCAACGTTTTTGCAAACGGGTGTATGTATATATATATTATATATATATATATTATATATATATATATATATATATATATATATATATATATATATATATTTATATTCGCTATTACGTCATCTTAATGCTAACCCTGAAAATCAATTCTTTAATTCTTCAAACTTTGGACTATAGTATATAGTTGAAAGCTTGAACAATTAAAATGTTGATGTTAAGAGATATCATTATGTGTATGTTATCAAAATACTGAGTAGTTCCGGCAATTTCAGGCTGACAATTTAGAGTGTTAGAAAGGCTAAATCATTGAAAAAATATTTGTTAATATCCACATCACAGCTAGAAAACCTGAATTGCAGTTGATATTAAACATTATAAATATGGGATAGGCTGAATAGAAAAGGATTTCCATTATTAATTGGGCCAGCACGGCTATGTTGGAGGTAGCTGAAATTAGGAAATTATTAGATTCTCTGATTAACCTGTGTCTTGCTTGATTCATATTTTGACTCTCAAGATGTCCTGTTTATTCAGATATTTTACTTTGAGAACTATCAGACCAAGGTCTTTTTGAACAAATTGAGTTTGAAGAGCGAAGTTAGTGCAAAAGATCGACCGAGCAAGCAAGGTTAATGAAAAATTTATAATATGGCACAAGGGCATGTATATTTGCGCTTGAAACAAACAAGAAATGCATGGTTTACCAACTGTCTGGAGAAATTTTGTTAATTTCAACAGCAAATATTAAATTCTCTCTTGAGCATTTATTTGGGCCCTTTTTAATCAGAATTTCTCAGTTTTTCACTTTTGATGGATCTCCAGTAACGCAGGTCCATTACGGGAAAGTGCCGGTCCATTACAGAGTTGTACTTTACTGGGGTAACAATTTTTTGAATTTTTTGAATTGGTAACAATTTTTGGAATTTTTGACTGGGGTTTACAATTTTTTGAATAACAACCCCTTACCCCTGACAAGTTACTCAACTGACAAGTTTCCTTGTTTAAGGACAAGAACACCAGGATCATACCCATATGGTACTCTTGACATTTATGAAACATTCATTAGGCCAAACACTTTAGCAAAAATGCAGACTACAGTCACTACAGTGCAGCAAATTGCGCATGACAACAAACTACAGTTTCTTGTACATCCAACAGCAATTTCAGTAAAATTGTTTAGTGCAATATGATGTTCATTAAATGTTTGTAGTTAAAAAATACCTAGGTTACACTAGGGCACAGGCAAGTTACACTAGGGCACAGCCAGGTTACACTACTATAGGGCACAGGCAAGTTACACTAGGGCACACGCAAGTTACACTAGGGCACAGGCAAGTTACACTAGGGCACAGGCAAGTTACACTAGGGCACAGCAAGGTTACACTACTATAGGGCTCAGGCAAGTTACACTAGGGCACAGGCAAGTTACACTAGGGCACAGCCAGGTTACACTACTATAGGGCACAGGCAAGTTACACTAGGGCACAGCTAAGTAAGGTATATGTTTTTGTTGATTTCAAAAGCAATTAAATTCTCTCTTGAGCATTTATTTGGGCCCTTTTTAATCAGAATAACTCAGTTTTTCACTTTTGATGGATCTCCAGTAACGCAGGTCCATTACGGGAAAGTGCCGGTCCATTACAGAGTTGTACTTTACTGGGGTTGTACAATTTTTTGAATAACAACCCCTTACCCCTGACAAGTTACTCAACTGACAAGTTTCCTTGTTTAAGGACAAGAACACCAGGATCATACCCATATGGTACTCTTGACATTTATGAAACATTCATTAGGCCAAACACTTTAGCAAAAATGCAGACTACAGTCACTACAGTGCAGCAAATTGCGCATGACAACAAACTATAGTTTCTTGTACATCCAACAGCAATTTCAGTAAAATTGTTTAGTGCAATATGATGTTCATTAAATGTTTGTAGTTAAAAAATACCTAGGTTACACTAGGGCACAGGCAAGTTACACTAGGGCACAGCCTGGTTACACTACTATAGGGCACAGGCAAGTTACACTAGGGCACACGCAAGTTACACTAGGGCACAGGCAAGTTACACTAGGGCACAGGCAAGTTACACTAGGGCACAGCCAGGTTACACTACTATAGGGCACAGGCAACAAGTTACACTAGGGCACAGCCAGGTTACACTACTATAGGGCACAGGCAAGTTACACTAGGGCACAGCTAAGTAAGGTATATGTTTTTGTTAATTTCAAAAGCAATTAAATTCTCTCTTGAGCATTTATTTGGGCCCTTTTTAATCAGAATTTCTCAGTTTTTCACTTGTGATGGATTTCCAGTAACGCAGATCCATTACGGGAAAGTGCTGGTCCATTACAGAGTTGTACTTTACTGAAGTTGTACTTTCCTGGGGTTGTACAATTTTTTGAATAACAACCCCTTACCCCTGATATGAACAATGCTAAATTTAGTATTGTACTCTGACCAAAAATTGGAAAGTAAATCCAATCACAGAGACAGAGTAAAATGTATGTACACTGTATCTCTGATTGTTCAACATACATTACTTTGTAAGAGAATTAGAGAAATAGTATTAGCCAAGAGTCAGCATTTAGCAGCAACAAAAGATTGCCCATTTTGCAGATTGCCCATTGAAGCAAAGGATAAAGAGCTGATTTTCATCCATGGAGCTCTAATAAAAAGTTATTTAGTCAG